GGGACGGAAGGGACAGTCAGGGACAGAGCCAGGGGGCTGAAGGTGACCCCCCCAGGGTACAGGCACTGGGCTGGGACCCAGTAATGCACTGGGATCCCACTCTGGGCTCCAGTTTTGCACTGGGATCCTGCCCTGGACCCCAGCAGTGCACTGGGATCCTGCCCTGGACCCCAGCAGTGCACTGAGATGCCACCGTGGGATCCAGTCCTGAGTTGGGATCCCATCTTGGGACCCAGTGGTGCACTGGGATGCCACCATGGGATCCAGTACTGAATTGGGATCCCATCTTGGGACCCAGCAGTGCACTGGAATGCTGCCCTGGGATCCAGTGATGCACTGAGACCCCACTCTGGGATCCGGTATTGCAGTGGGATCTGTGCTGGGATCCAGCCTTGTACTGGGATCCTGTGCTGGAATCCAGTTTTGTGTTAGGATTGTGTGCTGGGATACAACTTTGTACCAGGATCCTGTGCTGGGATCCAGTTTTGTACTGGGATCCTGTGCTAGAATCCAGTTTTGTGCTGGGAACCTGTGCTGGGACCCAGTTTTGTACTGGGAGCCTGTGTTGGAATCCAGTTTTGCACTGGGATCCTGTGCCAGGAGCCAGCCTTGTACCAGAATCCTGTGCTGGAATCCCATTTTGTGTTGGGATCCTGTGCTGGGATCCAAATTTGTACTGGGATCCTGCGCTGGGATCCAGCTTTGTGCCAGGATCCAGCCTTGTACTGGGATACTGTGCTGGGATCCAGTTTTGTGTTAGGATCCTGTGCTGAGATCCAACTTTGTGCCAGGATCCAGCCTTATACTGAGATCATGTGATGGGATCCAGCTTTGCACTGGGATCCTGTGGCGGGATCCTGTGCTGGGATCCAGCCTTGTACTGGGATCCTGTGCTGGAATCCAGTTTTGTGTTGGAATCCTGTGCTGGGATCCAACTTTGTACCAGGATCCTGTGCTAGAATCCAGTTTTGTACTGGGATCCCGTGCTGGGATCCAGTTTTGTATTAGGATCCTGTTTTGGGATCCAACTTTGTACCAGGATCTT